ATCTCCCTTTCAGGCCCATGGGAGGTGGTGCGCTCCCTTAGCGTTCAGGTTCCCTCAAAACCTTAGATATGGCCTGCAGGGATGATCTTGCCCGGTATGAGCTACCTGCCATGCGAACGCTTGCCCTCTCCAGAAGAGATGCAGTGGGAGACCGGTCAGCTGGCGATGCCTTCCCAGCAAGGCGACCTTGGATCTCTTGCTGCTTCTCAGCTCAGGCAGAACAAAGCAGACTTCTGTCCCTGCATCTTAGGGCTGGCTCGTTTAGTACCTGGGCATTTTCTGGTTTCCCAGACTTCCCCAGTGACTCCAGAGCTACAGGCTGGACCAAAGAGACAAGACAACTCCCTTCTGAGCTCTCTCCTACATGTCCCAGTCAAGACAGCACGAGGATGGGGCTTTGGTCCAGCTGGAGCCTGAAGCCAGATCTCCAGAAGCCAACTTGTTGCTGGCCTTGCTGGAGAGGAGGTGTCTTGTTCTGGCACCACAGACTTTGGATCAAAAAAAGAAGTATACATATATCAAAACAAGCGTAGGGTTTCTTGAGAAGTCCAAGTTCATCACCTCTCCCTGCTGACGAGTCAGTCGATGGGGAAGCAGGTGGCTGGCATGGGCGCTCTGCGGAAGAGCAGGCTGGAGCCGCGGAACAGCTGCCCCTGAGGAGGGGAGAGAGTGCAGGGTCAGGGCAGCCGTGCTGAGACCCGGCCAGGGAACTGCAGCCAGGCTAGCAGGGACCAACTCGCACCCACTGCAGGGCTGCGAGGCCCGAGCTCCCCGGGTGGCTACAGAGGCTTCAGCCCTGTGAGCACTGGGGTCAGGCATTTTCCCTAGGGATGGCTGACAGGGGCAGAGCCACCTTGCTTTGCTGTGTGCAATGCATTTGCCAAAAGTTTGCAGGCTGCAAGCTCCGGGCATGTAACGGGCAGACCAGTAATGCCACGCCTGGTACCAGTGCTGGAACTGGAGGGATGGACAGAGGTTACAGAGCTCGCTGAGGATGCATCACAGGCACTTCTTGGGCAGCACTGGAGACCTCTGGAAGGGGCAGAGGGAGCCCAAAAGCCCCATGTGTGTCCGTCCCACTCCCTCACCTGAGCACTGAGATACCTCCAGCAGTGGATCCAGGATGCAAACGCGGGAGCGTAGGGAGGGAGGCCAGCGCGCAGCCTGCGTGACAATGAGAAAGAGCTGAGACGGTCTGTACAGGTGTCACATTATCCAGACACAGGTAACATAAGAGCAGTGGTAAGTGTAAGCGAGGACACAGAAACAGTGTCCGCACTGGGCTGAAGGCCAAATGACCGGCTCGTTATTTACAATGCAACAGATCATGTAATTTAATTACCCCTGGAATGTACAAACAAGGAGTGTTACCTGGATACCTTAAGAGTCCAGGACTATACGCTGTATCTAGACCTTCAAGAAGGGGCAGATATCAAGACATTACACTAGCGGCTTGGATCCAGTCCCATTCCTATAAGCATGAATGCAGAAGACTTCCTGCAGCAGTGGGACTGGAAAGCAAGCTTGGTCCTGCTCCTGTCTGCACCCATTGCCCCATTAAGAGCTGCTTTGCTTTCCCTTGTGCTGCTCCCCTGAGCCAGCACAGTCCCTTTGATCCCTTCTGCCTCCAGTCTAGTTCAGGTTGGACTGCACCACCATGACTCTCCCTATTTTTCTCCACTTGAGCTTTTATGTTGCTCTTGTCTGTGCCCTCTAATCTAAAATTATAAGCAACCTGGGACAGGAAACGAGCCAAGCCTGTGAGATGCCATATAGTTTACGGTTCTATATGAAAGCTTTACGCTCGTTAGCAGAGGACTCGGACAACAAGGGGCTGGAAGAAAGGAAGGGAAAGCTTTAGATCTCAATGTGACAGACATACCCACAGTTGTTCACTGCCATGAGATCTCCCACGAGAAGGAACGGGTATGTCAGCATGCTCACAGCGATCTGAAAGCACAGAAAACTGGCAGCCTCTCTGATGTTCACCATGTCAGAAAAGCTACTTCCAGCCTTTGCATGTTAGTGATGTTATCCTCATCTTTGGATATAAAGTACAGACCAGCCTTTGCCCCCAGACCACGAGTTCTCACCCCACAGGCAGCAGGAAGAGCAGAAATGATGTGGCAGTTGCCTACGTACCCCCATCACAAATTTTGTGTAGCTCCGGATCACTGATGCCTGGCTGAACTAGAAAGAGAAACCAAAGGGATTATGGAGGAGATGGGTGACACCAGGCTGTCACTGTCACTACATGACATCCCTCTGAGCCCGAGACGATGGGTGTGGGGCAGGGGAAGAAGGCAGAAAGCAATAGTAGCCACACTGCATCCCAGCTGAGCATCAGGGAAGACAATTGCTATCGGTATCAAACCTGATCCCCTAAACTGAAACACATCCCTGAGCAGCATCTTTAGCACTTTTACAGTGTTTTATCCAAAGCCCAGGGTCTATTTGTATTAAATTGGCCATTAACCTCTCATTAACTCCTCACAACTGGAGGTGCTTGGTACGGGCCCCCCAAACTCTCCATCAGGCACTTCCACTCACGTTATCGTCCACCGCGTAGGTGTTGATGAAGTGAGCCAAGAGGTTGCAGCACCAGAGGAAGATGACATCCCCCAGGATGTGAGGGACTAAACCACTGCAACAGCAAGAAGAGGAGCGTGAGGTGCCCAGCCCTCCCTCCAGCAGCGTAGATGAACCCCACTCTTCCAAAAAGCATCTTTACTTTGGGAGGAAAAGGGGAGGTTTCAGGGAAGAACTCTCCGGGCCTTCAGACATGGTCCTATGTGTACTGCCAGCTGCTCTGGCTGGGGGATACTCTGGAGTAGGATGTTTGGGATCGTCATCTGGGCATGACTCAGGCCAGTCCCCTTGTTCTACCCCAAATCCCTTCTTGGCCCAAGTCCTGCTCTGAAGCCCAGGCAAGACACAGATGAAGCAGGTTTCTGATTAGCTCATTTTGCAGATGCTCTTCAGGATGCAGAATAAGAAGTTCATCTCCTAGTGGAATCTCCCTCCTTCTAGAAATTAAAATGAGGGGGCTTGTTCCTGCAAAACCTGCTCTACTGCGAATGGGATTAACTGGGGGCAGCACTCCAGTCCCTCTGATTTCTCCTGGTCCCTGCTGCCACCTGGGAGCATGGGGACACAGGGTGACGTGCTGCTTTGGCTTACACTTCTCCTTGACACACGGGCTGGAGCTCCCAGTAGCACAAGCACCCCTGGCTTCTGCAGCTAATGGCACTAAAACATTAAAAAGCATTTCAGAGGGGTTTTCTACTTTGTCAGCGCTTCAGCAGCATCTGTTGCACCGGCGCAAGCACGGAGCATGGGGCCTCCTGCTTTGGATGTGCAGTTGCTCCTCTGGAAAAGGATCCAGGTATGTGTTAAACCTGCCTGTTTCACCAGCAGATGTGTTGAGCCAGTTCTTCTGAAAATGAGGCTGTTGAGAACCACACAAGTGTTTGCTGGGCTCAAAAGAGCCACCTCCAAGCACACTAGTCCAAGTCACTGTGTTTTTTCCCAAACACCACGTTGCCTCTTTGGAGCAGGGGACCCGTTTTCTTTCCTGCTATGGTTGCTGCAGCAGAATGGCAATGGGGACTGCATGCTCTGATCCAGCCCGCTTTGCTTGCTTGGTGTTAGGATTTATACGTTTTGGAGACAACCTGTGTATTGTCAAGGACCTGGCAGCTCTGGAGATGCAGCCGAGGTCTCAGGGGCTAGGCACAGCAGAAATCTTCAATAGAAGATCTGCTGACTTAAAAGATGTCACATGAGAGAGCAACGGACAGAACAAAGAAATCAAAGCACTCTGGTCCCAAAGAGATGGCCTGCTTTGTGTTTAGCATTCCATCTTTGTAAAAATCGTTTCTCTAACTCAAAGTCAAGTTTGAAGCAGACTCCCGAGCTGCTGCAGACACAACAGGGGCTTAATAAAGTCCAGAAACAGAGGGCTAGTCCAGGACTGGGCCACAGTAGCCATTTAAGTAAAAACCTCACCCATTTGTTGATAGAGCGTCGGATCATTTGTTCCATTTACAATAAGGATCCCATCCCTCCCTCTCCTCCATCATCAAACTAATGACAGATGCCAGGCCTGAGTGTATGGGATGATGGGAGACCAGCGGTCTGAGAGCGCTGCAGAAGGGGACTAAAAGAAACAAATTCATTTTTGCTCCAACTCTCATGCCTGAAGATGTCCAAGGAGATCTGGACTAGAAATATTTTTTTTAGGAGATGACAAGTCATTAAAAGTGGAAACAGCAGCAGGCAGATGAGGAAGCCTGCATGATGTACAGTGATGCGACCGAATAGGAGAAACCCCAGTGCCTGGCAGGGCTGGACAAGCCGTCTTCGAGGTGACTGCGTGTAGCAGTTTCAGAGCCCCTGGAACATCCTGCTGGCAGGCAGGAGACTGCTGCAGATAGGAGGGGAAGCTGCGTAGAGGTTATAAGGCCATAAGAAATAAGTGCACCGGAATGATTTTAAGGGAGTGGATGTGTTTGGGTTGCGTTAGGAGGGCTGAGAGCAGAAAACCAGCAGTTTGGTCCTGCAGATGCAGTTTGTGTTCCCCTCACGGCAGTGTGATTTCCTAGCGGGGCTGTAGAGCGCACATAACTTCAGAGCCCTCCTGAGACATTTTGGGTTGTGTTAAAGCCTTTCCTGTGAACTATTAAGTTTAATTAGGCTACCAACAGTGTTTATTTTATGTGGAGGAAGGGACTGTGGCAGCTCCTTTCACATTATTTTCTCGGGAGGTGGAGGAGAGGGAGGGCTGTCAGACAGCATGCTCTGGCTGTGCCCCACACACAGAGAACATCTCAGAGGAACCTGTATTTAATGGAGAAGATTTGGGGCTGCACAGCTCAGCAGAGAGGCTGTGGGCTGCAAAAGGAGCAGTTGATGAGCCCACCCCATCAACTGATGGGGGTCTCTGCATGCCCCCTGGCCCCTTCCCCTTGTGGATGGGGACAGGGTGAGAGCCCCTGTGGTTGCTTGCCCCTTCCTGATTCATTCATGTTTCATCTGGAGGCCAAAATTTTGTGATTGCACTTCAGTGATGGCATTAATTTCCCACACTTTGTAAGAGGCTGGAAGTGCTTTTTGGCTTCTTCTGGTCCAGGCAGCGACCTGCCGCTGAGCCGGTCAGCATCACACTCCCACCGTACAGGCAAACCTGCTGCCAGCACAAACCACCTGCTCATTACAAGCATCCACAGTGCTCTTCAGAGGAATGTGCTTCTTATCCAGGCCCTTGGCTTTTATTTCAACAAGGGATCTCATTGTTGCACTTGATCTTGGTGCCTGTTGCACAAATGCTTTAAATGGCCCTTCACTGAAACACAAAGCAGCATCAAGGGAAAAAGAAAGGTAAGAAAAAATACAGGGTTTTCTCTGGACTTTGAAGGTTGGATTGAAGATAAGATCTGGGGCAAACTTAATGGTCAAACTGAAGCGCTGTCAAAGGCACCGATTTAATCTGTGCTCATGGGAGAGATGTGGGAGTCCCGTAGTCAGACAAGGTTTCAGATGGAGGAGCTCCGTGTGACTCTGAGGTTGGCAGAGCAGCCAGGTGAGCCATCGTGCCTTTGGACTATGGGAAAAAGTATTTAAACAGCAACTCACGTACACAAAGAATCCCAGGATCCCTTCTTCCTTAAATATCCTGCCGATGGCAGTGAACACACCGCTGCCAAGAAAGGAAAAGAGCTGTAATCTTGCAGGCGTTGCTCCATCCGCCCCGCGCAGTTTCGCATGCACTCTGCAGCCAGCAGCCATAGCAGCGTCCCCCCCAGCCACCCTGCCAGCAACGCAGCGGGCAGCTCCCCTCTGCTGCTTCTCCTCATGAAGGAGGGTCGTGTCTGCACTCTGCCAGTCTGCAGTAACGCTTGGGACAACACTCAACTTGCTGACAACTGTTGAAATGCTGAAGCTAGAAGAGCTTTGTGTGAGTGGATACATGTGCCACAATCACAGCACATAATATGCTTTGATTAGGCTGATCCTCAGCCCAAGAACCCTGTCCTGCCTCTGGAAACTCGTGCTGGCAGTCGTAAGTTAGCTGAAAGCATGTCTAGCATGCTTTCACATGGCTGCACATGTAGTTTTGCCCTGCAAGTATTACTGAAAAATAATACCCAGGCAGGTATTACCGAAAAAGGCTTGGAAAAATCTTGCAGGCTAGCAGGGCTGCAGCAATGCTTTGTATTACCTACTCTACCTCCCTGCTGACTTGCCTTTCTATTAACACCTGAAGCAAAAAGGCAGGAGACTCAGTGTGTGATCAGCAAGGTGCGTTACAGCCACCAGAATCCCCACAGGCACAAGGTGGAACAGAGGCACGCTGGGAACAGAGCCCACCCTTCCCGCACCCCTTCACCCTGCAGCCACTCACCCTCTAACCATAGCTCAGAGTCACTTTTCAGTCTCCCAAACCTCCTGGGTGGCCATATCCCCCACTGCATGGGAGCATCTGGCACTGCTGACTCCTGGCCTCATGCTTCTGTGTGCCCAAACCCTTCAGAGCTGCAGCCACTCACCTGTATTTCACTTCCCGGCCTACGAACTGGACCATGCAGCGCATCGAGATCACTAGGAGGAAAGAAACACAGGGCTGACAAAGAACAAACCTGGTTTGGGTTGCAATGGATGTGAAGGAAAATGCAACCTGACCCTTCTGCCCCCCCTTCCCTCAACTTGCATCACCTCCAGCTCCTCTGGGTGGTCCTCATCACTGCAAGACTCATTAGAAACTGGTGCCCTCCCCTAGTCTGTAAGTGATGGGAAGGATTTCTGGCCCTAACCCCAACGGGATCTCTAGGATAAGCTCTAAGATGAATGGGAAAAGAGCACCTTGCCGCTCGGCTGAGTTAGTCCCTGGAGGCCAACCCAAGCATCAGCCTCCCTAAGCAACCACTCAGACCTGCATCTGTTCTGCGGTTTCATACGAAGCTGTTTCTGATAGAGATGTGCATCGAGTAAATGGGGTTTTGGGGCAATCCTCAGTCCGGAGAGGGCTGCCAGGCAGAGGGACAGGACTCACCATGCAGCGGATGTGAGACAACCCGGGACACACACTGCATCATCATCTCATGAGATGTCTGGGAAGGGCAGAAAAAAAAAACACCTGTATGAAAAGCTGCACTGCTGCACCCACATAGATCAGGCCCTTTCCTGTAGTGTAGTGAAACCCATTTCGGGTCCCTCTTTTGAAATCTGTTTGTGGTAAACCTCTATTCCTACAAACTATTTCATAGCTGGACACAGAGTGGCTACAAAATACCACAGCCTTTTCACCCAGAGTTTCTCTCCAAGTAATTTCACCTACAGCCTGCAGTTTAAGCTTCCTTTTTTCTCCAGGCTCATCCCCAATGTGATCTTCCAGATCACTCCAACGTGCAATAACCACTTCTCACCTCTTTCACCACTTTCCTAAGGGAGGTCTTCACGTCATCCTTGTTAGAAACATGCTCCATGTCTTCCAGTGGAAAGGCCTGAGCAGAGAGGGAAGAAACATATGATCAAAACTGATGGAGACACTGACCCACAAACCCTTGATGCCTGAGGACAGGAGGAAACCACAAGCAGTTGTGCTCTAGATGGGAGGAGAAGAAAGGATGGAAAGTAAAACAGGAAGAGAGGTGTCACGAAACTGCTTACAAAAGATAAAAGGCAAGTGGTTGTTAAAATTAAATTAAAACTGTTTAAAAAATAAGTTTTAGGGATATGCACACTGTGCTCCTCCTGTCCTGGAGGACTATTCAAAGCCCTTAGGAGATGGAGAGGGATGGGCACTTTATTCCTCTGGGTACAGGCACTTGCAGGCTCCCTGGCTCCACTGCAGTAGCACCGGCCGACCCAGCAAGCTGATTTATGGAGAGAGAAGCCGACCTTTACCTTCTTCACGCTCCCCCTGGTGATGGTTGATAAAGTGCTTGAGATGAGGCGAGGAGTAAGACCGCGGAAGAGGCCTCTTTTCCCATCCACTTCCACAATGTGTCTGGCTGGGTAAGAAAACACCAGGCTGCTGTCAGTCGGGAGCTGGCTGACTCGTGGAGAGCACCCCAAACACCTCCAGCGTTCACCCGAAACTGCGCCGGAGCTCAGCACGGCACAACAGCCGCTCTGTGGTCCCACCGTAAGTGATTTATTATAACAGTCCTAAACAAACTTCATCTAGGATGCAAAGAATCTTTAAGTATTCCCTGTCATATCTGTCTAATCTGGAAGGATAGCTTCAGTATTTTGGGCTACTTCTCATCTTTTGATTGTTTTGCTCACCTGAAAGGGCTACAAGGCAGTTTGGACTGAACCAGGGTGGGGAGGGATCATCTCGTGTGTTGTGTGGTGTCACCTCCTCCCTCTGCCCCAGGGGGGTCAGACTCAGGGTTAATATGGATCTCACAAACCCAGGTTCAGTTCCTGCCCCACCACCTCCTCCCCAGCAAACTTCCTCAGGTCTCCAGCCAAAAGAAAAAAAAAAAGCCAATGGTTCCAATTTCTTCCTGATATAACAAGGTGAAATACAACCCACTATGTGCTTGTGGGTACTGCCTGCTCCTGCCTCCCTTCTTCTGCTGTCCCAAGGGAAGCCAGGAAGGCTCTGCACATCTCCATCACTCAATCCTGTAAATCTATTTGGGAAATGCATCTTCCAAAAGGCTGCACTGGAGCATTTCCAGCCCTGGGTGTTCCAGGATGGGTTTGCAGCACTTTCATACTGCTCCTGCGCTGGGCCCCCCTGCCCCACGGGCACTGCCGTCCAATTTTGGGATCAGCCTAACTTGACTTTCAGGACTGTGCACTCCCTTTCCCCACAAATCCACTGTGAAAGCAATCCCCAAGGCCACAGAGCATCCACCCGCCTCTCCCTTGCTGGACCACCCACAAAAGGAGAAAAATACTACTTTTTTTTTTTCCTTCTAAACATATTACCTGCCCTTTTCTTGGTATTTCTGTCCCTTTAGAGCTCCAGCTACAACACAAATGAGCAGGGCAGGGGTGCAAGTTATTGCAGGGCTGTTCTGTAGCAAAGAAAGGTGCTTTGCTATCTCTAACGTGCACCAGACCCTCCACCAACAAACCTACGCCACCTAAATCCCCACTGCCCCCTCCGCTATGGTGCAAACCGAGCAACATGCCACAGGAAGGGGATGCAGCACCAGTGCCAGGGCCGCCACCACCTTGTCACCAACAACAGCAAGTAAATCTGATGGCTTTGCAACTAGTTGTAGTGTTTTATGTCTCATTGGAGCCTCAGGATGATCCCAAGGACGCTGCTGGGGATGTGGGAGCGCTGCTGGAGCGTGGCTTGGTCTAGCCGGCAGCTCTCAGCCCCGTTTTTGGGCAGGATCTCACGCTGGCAGGGAGGAATGTTCGCTCACCGTAGGTGAAGAAGCCGGGCAGGTACAGGACTTTTCTTCCCAGCACGTTTCTTCCAACGGTTGGAGGTAGTGGCTCATGCCCGACCTGCAAGAGAAACCCCATGAGCAGGTCCCTGCCGCTGTCCTGGCGTTCCCAAAGGCCCTGGGCCACATGGCCTCGATCCCGGCATCCGTGAGCTGCCAAAAGGCCACATCCCCCCCCATCACCCTCAGATACACAGGGGTGTCGTGACAGGGGCAGTCCCTTTCCCATCATACGGGGTCCCTACAGTACCAGGGGTCCTCAACCCTCCCATTTTATGGGGTCCCTGTTACAGAGGGGTTTCCCATCCTTCCTTATAGAGGAGCCCCCGTTGCAGGAAGTATCCTCATCCCTCCCTTTTTATAGGGGTCCCCACTCCACAGGGTATCATATGAGGGGGTCCCGATGCCCCTGCTCTGAAGGAGTCCCCACTGTATAGGGGTCCTCATCCCTCTGTTATACAGGGTTTCCTATTCCCTGTCATATAGGGGATGCCCGTTGTAGAAGGTATCCTCATCCTCCCATTATATAGACCCCAGTTCTGTAGCTGCCCGCATCCTCCCAGTTATATAGGGACCCCCATTGTACAGAGTGACCTCATCCTCTACTATATACGGGGGTTCCCGTTGCATGGGGTCCTCATTGCCTCCTTATATAGGGGTGTACCCCCCATTATATAGGTGTCCCTATTGTGTCCCCTCTTATAAAAGGTGGGAGGTTATATATATGGGTCCCCAGCACACAGAGGTCTCCATAGCGGCACTTATATGGGGTCCTCCTCCCTTCACTATATTGGGGTCCCGATCTCCCGTTATACATGGGCTCCCCTACCCCCGGGCCCCCCTCTCTGCTCTCCCC